CTGGTTTTTCTAGAAGGGTTATTTTTTTCAACACGCTGAGAACACATGTGTATCAGATTTGCAGGGGCACCAGGAGGGGGATAGCAATACGCTTGATGACAGCGGTGCCTGCGTCAGTGGAACGCAAACCTTCCACTAAAATGAACCAAAAGATGCAACCTAGAAGAAATAGAAGCATCCCTGCACTAGCAACACTCCCCCACCCCCAAAAACATCACCTAAAGATAATGGATCTCCCAGTAGGGCATCAGCTTGTGTGAAAACGCCGAGTCTTTAGTCGGCCTTGCTCAACCGAAGCCACCAGTTTGCTGTGGCTATTGTGACAACAAACACACGTCACTGTGAAATAGAAGTATCCTGCTGAGGTCGAGGTTGCATAATCCTCAAGCTAGCTCGACCACATTGGGAGTAGCCCTTGGCCAGAAAAGCACTGACAAATTGCACATCTCAGAGGAAGGCCTGGAGAGAACTGGAGGAGCCTCCCTGGCAGTCTGCTGGAGAGAAGAGCGTGCTCCTCCCAGGCTGAAAGCGCTTGGGAGAGGTTGTTTTGCTGCAGAAGGCAGATCTCAGGCCACTAAGTGGCTACTACCAGTTGCTGTGATGTGAATTCCAACCCACGGAGACTCCATGTACGTCAGAGGGGCACTGTGCACCCCAGGGCTTTGGGCAGCCAGATTTTTAGAAGTAGATCTCCTGGCTTTTGTACAAAGGCATCTCTGGGTAAATCCTTGGTTGACAAGCCCCTGTGTTAACAATTTATACCACCCAGGATCTCTAAAGTGGCCATTCCGGAGAGGCTGACTGAAGGTTTGTGAGCGTCACCAGGTGTCATATCTAAAAATGTTCATACCGAAGTTGAACAGGTATTCATTAGGTGTGCCAAAGAAGGAATTAGAATGGGCTAGGATGTTGGGTACCTGATCTCTGAAATACCTATCAACTTTGAAATCCTGTGATCCAGTAAGCCATTCAAAGCGAGAGGCAGTAAAAAGATCAGTCGCTAGGGACTCAGGAAAGGGCAGAAGGGATGAATGGGTAGGCATAAGGCATTTTGTGGGCAATGAAACAACTCACAGTGATACAGTAATGGTGGGCCCATCACCTTATGCATGTATCCAAGCCCAAACACCAAGCCTTCCTGTAAATTATGGACTTGAGCTAATAGTAATGTGTCAATATTGGTTCGTCAGGGTTCACAAGTGCAACACACGGACAGCACCTGGTGCTAAGGTAGGCCGGCAAGGAGCGGGAAGAACACTCGATTTTCTGTTCAGTTTCTCTGTAAACCCCAAGCTGCCCGCATAAAGAAAGCAGATACATATAAGCTATATATGACTACAATCCGCCTTTGTAGGTCTTATTTCACGCTGGGGTGGAATCCTATATTTTTACTTGGATACTCCTGCTTTGTTTCAGTCGAGTCTCCTAGCAAGCATGTGACACTAGAAGAACATCAACAATGTGTCGAAAATTCCCCCAAATGGAAAGGAAGTGGTGTTAATAAACTCAGGGACAAGGGAAAAACAAGTGATCCAAATCGGTGGTGAGGTGGGT